TTATGGCTTACTGTTGGTGTGTGCATGTGCTTTATGTGTGATTGCAGGCAGTACAGCAGTGTTTACACTGTCCCTGTGTGTAATCCACTGTATTTTATGGATGCTGGTTCTCTGCCTGATTGAAACAGATCCAGTAGTGTGCTCTTTCTTTCTATTGACCTGCTGTTTTCTATAACACACACATGATTGAGCGCTGGTTCTCTCTCTCCTTCTCCTTACTGCTAAGCTGCAGAGATGAACAAGGGAGGAATAAAATGAATATAAAATATTTCTTCCTGTCTTGTAACTAGTTCTTATGACGTCTGGGCTTTAGTGAATCCTCAAAGGTGTAGGGTGAGAGGTGGAGGTGGGCTTTACCCGTGTTTTATTTATGTGAGCCATTTAACAGTGAGAAGTTGTTTTAGTCATTCTGAGAAGGTACACAGCCTCTTATTATTTAATTTCATTTTATTTCCCACATCAAGACAAAGTGTTCTCAGTCCAGAGAAGGAGAATCACTTGGCAAACATTGTTCTCAGAACAAAAACAAAGAAAAAAGCCAGGCATCCTTACATATGAGCAGTTAAAGTCAGTACTAATTGTGTCATTGTATAATATACTATATATATTTTTAAGAACATGGCAGTGAAATCCAGCCAGAAAAACCGATGCTATAGTACTGATACACCTTTTCATACTTAATTGAATAGATTTAAAAAAAAATTTTTACCATTCTATTTGTTGTTTTTAATTTAAACATTCCTCACCTTTTCAACTGATTGACTTTCTGATCTCAAACCACTACAACTGCACCTTCTCCCATCTCTCTCTATCCAGACGTATCCAACTCCTATAACAGTGATAATATACATAAATGTAGCTTCTCTTCTCTTCTCTTCTCTTCTCTTCTCTTCTCTTCTCTTCTCTTCTCTTCTCGTCTCGTCTCGTCTCTTCTCTTCTCTTCTCTTCTCTTCTCTTCAATAAATGAAACCATGTGTCACCTTAAGTTCTATGCTGATGTAGTGGTGGATGCATACAGTAGGTAGGGATGCTGTAACCTCCAGGTATCCATGAGTCGCATTACAACCACTAATGCAAGTCTGGAAAGCCCAGCCTTTTTCCGCTTAAAACACTGTAGTTTGGTACCCACTAAATACGTGGCCTTATATTAAGGAGCTACAGTATTTGTATCTGTACCAAGTACAGGATGTATTTGTGTGAGAGTGTGTGTGTAAGAGAATGAATGAATGTGTATTTGTGAAGGGCACTCAATCCCTGTAACCATGGTTACCAGGTGGTCGGCCCTCCCATGGGTTCCCATTTCATGACAGTAAAGAAAGAGAAATGGAAGGAGAACTAGAGATATAAAAATATTTTGTTTCAGTCTTGGTTAAGTAACAATGTATTTTTACATTGTGCATTCTGTAATTTTGTTTCCTCCCCATGTTAGAATGCAATCTGGTGAAGCAGTTTGTGGTTAAGTCCTGTCAGTATGTGTTTCTTATCAGAAACCTCCACTTAATAGTATCAGCACAACAGGATATTGGACACTGCTGAAGTATTTTCTGTTTATTGTCCTGCTTCATGTATCTTATTTCCATCATCTCTGCTTTGCTCTGCCGGCTTCTCCCCTGCTTCCCTGGGGCCAGATTCACAAAGCCTTTACAAGCTATTTCATCTTAAAGGGAAGGCCAGTGCTTGTTACTTGTTACATGGACATGTTGCTCCTCTTCCTGAAGACAGTTTGATATGCATTCATAAGGATTCACTGCCTTGTAAAGGAAGCCAGAAAGAGCAATAAAACAGTTGGGCGAGACTTCTAATCTGTACATAGCATTCCCAGAGCGAGCCTCTCGTTTGGATTGGCCTCTACTATAAAGTGAAAGTGCTTTCACTGCTTGCACTGGAGAACGTTAGGGTTTTTCCCCTGTCGTGCCTTATTTTTACATGTATGCAGTAGCAAAAGGGCAGCCCTGTCTCCCAGAAATGATACTTCTATATAACAAATGAGAGATATGCATCTTGTAGGAAATCTGTCATGATCTTAGCCTTTTTTTTCTGTCTCCACCCTATGTTTCCCTGTTATTTTAGACCCAGCCCCTTGTCTTTGTTCCATGATTCCCACTTCTGCTACCTGCTCCACCCCACTCATCTGTCTTCCATCTGTCCAATAAGCCACTCGGTATTTAAGTCAGCAGCCAATATTCATTCTTTGCCAGGGTTTCAACTGAGAAATGTCTCAAGAAACTAGTTGACTGCATTTGTCTCTGCTTACCAGATTTGTTCATGACCTGGTCCCCCTTTCAGTCCCCAACCCTGCTCGCCCTGTTTGAACTGTTAGATTCACTTGTGCGCTTGCAGCTCATTTAATCTGGTCAGTCTGTTCCCTGGATCTGGCACGTGTGTTTCAGTCTTTGTCAGCCATTACACTGTACATGTGTACCTCTGTTTACCTGCCTTTGAACCAGTTACCTTGCTTACCTGTACTCCTTTTTACTATCATTACAGGCTTGTCAGTCTTGTTCACTCCCCACCCCTAACTCCTTGTTTCTGGTCTGTACCCAGGTCCTTAAATTATACACTGACAGTGATGTATAGTAATGCTCTCTTGAGTGTTTTTTTTTTTTACTAACAAGAAAATGAATATATACTGAATATATCAGCAAAATATTTACTGTCAGCACATTTTCAAGAATATTGGCTCCTGACGAGTGAAGCATTGTGGTCATGGCCATACTCAAAGGTCAGTGCCGATGTGAAGCAAGAGACGAGACATGTTCAGTGCAATGAAAAGGTCAAAACCAAAAATGAATTTATCCCGCTAACAAGTACTGTCTGTGTAGCCAAACCCTGGCATAACTTATTCCTCTGCACTGTCACTGTGCACGTCCGTTGTTGTCACTGCTGCATTACAATCACATGAATGAGTTCCTTTACTGAAACGAACACGGGCACAGTGATTTACTTTGAGCTCGTTCCACATTCACCGGGCTTTAAATACTAGCACACCATGGCTGAACATAATCCCATTTACATTTACAGTGCTCAGCTGATTTAAGAACTTATATTCTACTGTATAGGCTAGTAAAGAACATGTGATGAATAGATCTGTAGTGAATAGGTTAAGGGAACCGAAATCAGACGTTATTACTGTAAGGATTTTGTTGGTTTGGGTCTTTTCTGTTAACAATAACAAAAACCTAAATACTGCAACCACTCACCATATATAAATATATATACACACACACAGTCAATGGGCAAAGCACATTAATAGCATATAAATTAAATGTGTGCAAACAGTGAAGATTCTGTTTTATTTTATAACCTGGCTGGTATTTTT